AAGAAGTATCTGAAGTAATTCTAAACCATTAACAAAATTTCATCTATTGAATATTCTTGCTTTTGTTACTTCCAATCAGTCTAATATAAAAATAAAGGAAAATAAAATCGCAACAAATTGCACAGCACTTATTTTAATTAACCACATTACTTAGAATGATTACTTTGCTACTTATATAGATATAAAAACAGTCTTAATTGACAATAATATAAGTGACAGATAACTATAAAAAGGCACTGTTGATTATTTATGGCTAATTTGCTTAAATAATACACTATTTTTTGTGTCATGTGCCAATAATTCTAAGTAACATGATGCAGTAAAATAAGTAACCAAGTAATCCTTTAAAGTTCTCTGAACAATGGTGCTAAATAAAATGTGAAGCTTAATTTGGTTAATGTTTTATTTATTTCATCAAGTTATAAAATCATTTCCATATTGGATAAGAGAGAGTGTGTATCTTTTTACTTGCAAATTAAACTTATTGGAATAAAATTCTGACACTTAACAACATCACAATTAAACACTCAGTATCACCAGTTCCTTTGGATAATAATGGAAAAAAAACTGCTCAAATAAAATAATTTGTTCTATTTAAAAAAATTTAAAATTTAATGATCTGTCTTTTTTCCCCAATAGTATTTATCAGTTATTTCTATTCACTTAATATCTTCATTGCTGCATTGTTATTGCACTATTGCCTGGCTGTTCTGGAATGTTTTGGAAAAAATAAGATTACAGCATTACCCAGAGAAAAAGAATAAGTTATAACAACACAGACAAAAAATGTATTTAATATATTTCTTCTCCTGGGAATGCAAACATCTTCCTTTTTACCTATCCCACCTGGAATAACTGCCTCAGTGATCTGTGGAAGAAGTTGCTTGACAGTCAAACAAGTTCCAATGCACAACTTTACTATATTGTGATTTCTGACAAGCAACTTTTAGTTAAAGCCTGAGGGGAGAAACATCAGGTAGCTCAGTTGAGGAATTCAGTTGTTTTTTGAACAGCCTCAGAAATGGCCAGATCTGTGCCAAGTGACTTGCAAAAGATTTATGGGAATCTGTACAACAGCTTTGAGTTTATTTCTTCAATTGCATTCTTTGGTGCAATATTGCTTTGTTTGTCCATGAAGTGTTTATGCTGTTTTGAACCATTTTTTTTTTTTTACATTTAAAATAGAGGGAAAAGTCAACATTAATATTAAAAACTAATCTATCTATAAAATTCTGTGACTTCTGTTAGTCCATCCATCCATTCATCACACCCTCTAAAATAGCCATATATTGAGCGATCGAATTCAAATTTGAGGGAGAAGTACAAACAAGCAAGGGGGTTCAAAGTAAAGTTGGTTTTACTAAAGTGCATAGCTTAGTACAATAAATTTTCATTAATTTTTTTGGGAAAAATTAAAAATTTGATTATTTAACATACAACATACTTCCACTATTTTAAAAATAATTTAATGATTGAAATAACAAATACTTATTTAATAAAAATGCAATATTTTTTTTTTTTTGCATGTCTTTTCTTTTTATCATCGATTAGTTTGTAAAATTGAATAAAATGTAGAGTTTGTAAATCTTAACAAAACCTTTTAGTGATAACTTCAACAATACTAAATACTGTGAGGATTTCAACACACATCAGCATGTTGCAAAAAAATTCTAGTATTAAAAAATCATGTTTAATATTAAAGACTTTAAGCTTTTTTCTAGCTAGCTCAACAATTTTACAAACAAAACAGCAAAAAAAAGTATCTTTTTTTCTGTAAAATTATTTTAATCCAAAATCAACATCTCTCAGAGGTCAGCATCCTAGATCCTATCACCTTTTCTTGTGCCCAAGTTACCCTGTATGTATCAGTTTAAATCCAAGAATATAATTGTTTAGCTGCAATTTAGTCTAATTCTACTTCCATTTTGAACTTTATCACTAACTCAATATCTTGCTCTATTTTTCTAGAAATATCATGCTGTGCTATTTGATGACCTCTACTGTCAACCTTATATACGTTGTCACAACTGGTTGTTTTATAAGTCTTCATGCCAAAAATTAAGTCTTCTTGTTTAATTGAACCTGATTGTTGCATGGAAACACATACACACATAAACAGAAATCCTCAATACTAGTATAGGCTGTTTCTGAAAGTTCTTGATTATTTCCTAGACATTTTCTCTAGGATTGAAGTCTGGAAACTGTCCAAGCCAAAACAAGGTTTGAATTTCATAATCTTGGAAAAAGTTTTTGATTGATTTAGCAGAATGAGCAGTAACATTACCCTGTTGATATATTGCCAGATTGGGATGAGGAAGCTGTTAAAGGAGATGCTTATTTAGAATTTCTTCCTTGTAGTAAATGGCAGTGACATTTTTATTGCAATGAATTGGTGGTCCAGCACCCTAACTGGTGAAACAGACGCACACCATTATGCTATTATCTCCCAACTTTCTTGTTAGTTGTAAGCAGTCTTTTCTGAATTTTTTAGTTAATCTTCTAAGACATCTTATGATTCACATCAGGAAGAGGGAAAATATTGACTCATTCTCTTTGAGACTCCTTGTCCTTGTAGAGGTCAAAAAAGTTCATTCTAAACAAGTGTTTGAGGCCTTACTGTACAAAGCCTACTAAAAATGTTAAATTCTTTGATAGACCTTCTGACACTATGTTAGGGGATAGAAGAGGACAGGTGAAGTCATTTCAGCCAGTTTTCTCTTGTCCCAAGGCTGGTTTTGTGGTGTCTACTGATTCTCTTTGAGTCTATTGGACAATTCTGCAAATGGTGAGCAATTTAATACCCAAATTTCTCTCATTTTCTTCTCAATAATCCTGAAGCTATGACTTTCATCATAAAATAAGTGAATATTTCCTTTTGGTGAGGATGATAATTGCTTACTTCCTTTAGTAAAATTGCTCAAACCTAAAATAATAGATTAGCTCTTGAACTGGTTAATTATATAGGAAAAGAAAAAAAAAGTGTGCTAACATGTATATTGACTGGTAGAAACTGAATTTTTGTTTTTCACTACATGTTTAAACAATGAAAATTGAAAAATTTTCTAAGCAAAAATAACTATCAGAAATTAATTCTGTAAATTCCCTACATAATTAAAATTTCTAAAAATGTCCTTCTGTAAAGTCCCTAGATAATTGAACTACATAAATATATCATAAAACCAAGTCCTACTTATAAAAATAATCTGTAATAAGTTTTTAATGAGCAAATATTGAAACAATTGATTAGTTTTGATTTTTTTTTTTTTTCAAATGAAACAAAGCAAAGTAAAATGACTACAATCATTCTGTAATGATTTTTTGCAGAAGAAGGAAAATTTATATAATATAGGCTTTCTGTTTTTCTTAAAGACAATCATCTCATAAGATTACTGCTTGGAATTCTGCATTAAAACTTTCTTAGCGTCATTTTAATATTCAACTCCTTATCAGGCCATTTCGTAGCCTACAAAATACACTTTTCTTATGGAACCCTAATTTCTAGTTTTAATCATGTCTTTATTCTAAGATTCAGAATTTTCTTGATTTTTATTGAATATTATTTCTCTGAAATTTCAAAAATCTCTAGCCATATGTACAATTCATTAGGATTTTCCTTTCATGTACTTCTTGGAGATTTCCTTGCGGCTTTTCACTCTGCAATGAAACTGAACTGTTCCTTCTGCCCACAGTTTTCTGCTTTACTCAGTCATTTGGGTATTTTTCAGTTTTAAGTTTCACTGAAAATAGATGAAAGGTTTATTATCAAAATAACTTTTATCAGTTTATCCCCAAACTTGCTACTAGAGTCAAGTTCTAAACCATCCTATCATTTCAATACCACTGAGAAAAGGTTTCTACATGTTTGTATATAAACATATACATACATACAACCATGATTATATATATATATATAATACGCAAGTTTATCGCTCTATATGCAAGTAAGATTTTGTGTTATATATACATTCATACTCATTACACACTTTAGATATTTTATAAAATCCATATATAAATATTAAACTTACAAATTTATCTAAACTTAGCCAAATTTTTGGAAGAATATTGAATTCACACTTTTAATCTGTGATCCCAAACTAGATTTCTTTGCATATTAAATGCTTTAAGAACAGTTTTTCTTGAAATTTAAATATGTTTTTGCATTTAGGATTTGAGGTATTTTAGCACATTCTTAGCTCCTAAGATTTTCATTCTGCTACCAAAGTTGTAACACTTAACATATAAAAAATATCTAAGCAAGAATTATTCCCCCATGACCATATATCTGTAAAATTTGCATTTTCCTTTGAACAGAAACTTTAGCCTACTTGTATTTGTTCATATATCTATGAGCAGAACCCTTTTTATTTAAATAGGAATCATTTTCTGCATTTTCATGTGACCTTTGACTACAATATGAAATTCCAAGTGAAAAATTTCAACTTATTTACATATGAAAGAAATATATTTTTGTATACAAATGTATTGGTTGATTTCTGGCAAAGTCAATCTCAAATGGAGTATCAACCACCTTATATACAGGTATATATGGTGGTTGATACTTAATTTTGCCAGATTGACTTTGCCAGAAAATCAACCAATCCATTTGAGAGTATCATTTGATAGAGATTGGAGAGTGTCATATATATAACTATCTCGATAAAACAAGCTGGGGAGATAAAATAAAAATAGAATTTCACAAATGAAGAAAACATTTTCTATCAAAATTAGTGTCAATTTGAGAGATATTTTATGTCCCTTTTGGCTGTTTCACTTAAAGAAATATGTATCTGGGCTCAGAAGAAACAGACATGGTATATACTGCTAATAGCATAAAGAGGTTTTAAACATCTATGTGCTCAACATGCTGACAAGTGAAAAGGAGAATCTTGCTGGAAGCCATTTTTTTCCAACAACAATTATCATGTGTCATGTTTGATTTTGAAAGAAAGAAAAAGAAAGCAACATTGAATTTTAAAAAAAAGTTTTCTCTTTGTTTCCAGGATTCTGAGCTGAATGAACTAAGAGCTACAATTGAGGCCTTAAAACGACAAAGTGGACTGACTAACACTGACCCTGTATTAAGCCCAAGCGTTGGCCGACGTCATACTTCTCCTGCGTCAGGAGGTAAGAAGCAAAGTAGATCTTCATAAAACCACTTTGATGCCAATGACCATTTTTATGTATAAACTAGAACATTGTTTTCTTGTTATTTATTCCAATATTTAAATCTAGCTTAATTGTATTAATACAGAATTAAAATATTCATATGATGCATTTAAATATTGATTACATTGTTGTTTGTTTAGCTTAAAGTTTAATAAAAGAACTGAATACAAAATGTCAAAAAATTGTTTTTAACCTTTAACACTCTGTATGTATTATTAATTCTACTGCATCCTTTTTCAAGGCCTCTCAATTTCAGTATCCTTATTGTTAATTTCACTCAAAGTTGTTTTCTGTTGCCATAACAGGATATGACAACACAACTATGAAATTGAAACACACTATTGTTCAGGGATCAGAGTCACCGTTGATGGCAAGATAAACTTTTTGTATAGAAAATACCACTTCGATAATATGGGAATAATTTAAGTTTGTCCATCTTAGAAAAATACATCTGGATTTTCAAATCCTAAGCACAAATATTTAAAATGGGAGAAATTTTCTCTCTTTTAAAAAAATAAGTTGTGTATATTTTATATATTAACCCAAAATTTGCTATGTGATTTTCTCAAAAGCCATCACCAATCAAAAAAAATAAAAATCAATGTTAATCAAAATATGTTTATGTGATTGTGATATTTTGGAGCATTGTTTAGTTTATTCTTCTGTCAAAATATCCATGTAGATGCATCCAAGTGTTCAGAGGAAAGTAAGATGAAGCGGCTGTCACAGTCCTTGTGAGAAGGAAACAAAAACCATATTATTTGGTTGTACAAAATTATTAAATTCTTTATTCATGACAATAACTTTACATAATCAATGTAGCATTATATGAAAAAAAAATTTTGAACAATTGACTGTGTAACTAAAATGTAAACAATTTTCATTTGTTTTCATTACATCGGGCATGTGAATTGTAAAAATAAATATGAATTTTTATCAGTGTGACTATGCGCATACAGACACATTCACACACAGCAAATTATAGGCATTAACTTTGATTCATGTATCTGATTTGCGCATAATGAAAAAAAAACAATTACTTAATTAACATTTTTCCCATCAAATAAATGCATAAATAATTTGCAATTTCAATATATCTATTACATATTTTGTTTGTGTCTACAGATATTCTCTGCTTTCAGAACCTTGGTATGTCTCCAAATATGAAGAGTGATCCTGCAGATCATGCTCTCGTCCAAATGCACATATGAAATGGAGGCAACGATTTATATTAATTATCATATGTCATTTGTCAAAGTCAAATACTGATGTCATGTAGAAATTATATGTCTTTCTTTTAAAGATTTTTTATTATCTCCACTTTTTATTATTTGTTATACATAGGATAAATTTTCAGCAATTTGCAGTTTCTGTTCCTTCCTTAGCAAGGTCTTCTTTATTACTCCTGAAGATGTACAATTTTTTTTTTCTACACCATAAAAATTAATTAATATACTGACCAAAATTTAAATTAAAACTTTTCATAGAAAATCACACTAATTGAACCTAATTAATTTACAGAACCTATTAAACCAATGTTGCTGAGTGGTTTAAAAATAAATTAATCAAGATAATTTTTTTTTAATGTGTAATTTAAAGATTTGAATGCTCTCCAATTTAGTTCCTCTCTCTGGGAGATGAATAAACATTGACATAATAATTTTGTATATATCTTCTCAAGCCAAATTGATGTTCTCAGGCTTCTAGCAGTCATCAAGTTCTTCCCCCTGCTCCCACAAACTTGTGCTCATTTTCAGTGAAAATTTAAATGTAATGTCAATTGTTATCTTCTGTTCTGTTCTTTTATTGTTCTCTCTCCTTAATAATGTCTTATTTTTCTTATTCTCTCACACTTTGTAACCCTCTTGCGTCTTAGTGGCTTTATTGCTTTGCATGGAGTGAAATGATTGAAATAAAAAAAAAAAATCTTTAAATCAGCACTTTTCTAAAACATTTTAGATATCCCTTTTTTTTTTTCTTTACTCAACGTTTAGGAACAGAAATTCCCTAATCGTAAAAACATAAATTTATGACAAGGTAAATATATCACATGACCACTCAGCTGTTTTAAAGAAAAGAATTTTAAATGCTATCAGGAATAAAGTAGTTCTCTTTGCTATCAGAAACAATATCAGAGGTAATAATTGTTTATAGTTTTCTTCATAGAATGTTGGGAATTTCCCATCATGTTTTTTTTTTTTTTTCTCCATTTCTTAAGGCATTATTTTTCTTCCTCCTCTTTTCTATTGTGTTGTACCTTGTTGACATTTTAAAGATGGAAATGTTAAGAGACTTACTTGTTCACTGATTATTGTTATCCTGGTTTTTCTTATTTAGGCTGTGAAGCAGGCATCATTCGTCAGATGTCCTCGGACAGTATGTCCAGCATCAATAGTTTATCGAGTGCCTGTAGTGCGGCAAGTCAGCAATCAGCAGCCACAGATGGAGACATTGGCAAAAAGAAGAATAAAAAAAAGGGCTGGGTAAGTAACATTGAAAGAAGTGATGGCTGGGCACAGAAATTACTTTCTGAACTCAAATATCATGATTTTTACTCTTCCTTTTGTAATTGAATTCTTAGATTTTGCTTGTATTTTTTATGCCATTTGAAAAGTCACCTTTTAAAATTTTTTAAACCATATAATATTGAAAAATATTATTTATATGAGCTTCAGAAGAAAACTATGGATATATTTTTACCTTAGGTAAATTTACTATGGATATATTTTTACCTTAGATAAATTTAGGTAATCTTTTTTAGACCAATATATTTATTAATGTTTGAATTGTGTTAGCATTGTAAGCTGAATTTTAGTTTCTACAAATATTTTACAATTTTTATTTAACATTCAATACAATCAAAACTTATATAATTTTTGAACGCTAAAAAAAAACCCAAAAAAACAAGGAACATTTAAGTGCTAACAATTTTACCAAAAAGATTTGGCAACTAAACCCCGAAATTTAAGCTATTTTAAATGCATCATCCAAAAGTAGACAAATCCCCTATATTTAAGCTATTTTAAATGCATCATCCAAAAGTAGACAAATGCATTAACTGTACTGGACATAGAATCAAGTTTAAATCTTTTGTAAGTTTCCTACATTTTAACTTGTATCAACCATGTTTATACTAACAAAAAATAATTGAAGAACATAGACCTTTACAAGACATAGCAGCATTTCCTTTCCTTCTCCATTTTTATATATTCTTTCCTGTTTTCTCCCCACCCTTCAAAATAAATAATAATAATAAATAAAAAACTCAAATACCATGTTATAATTGTCTGGTGTGACTGAAGTGGTCAGTTTGTTCTTGTCAACTTTCTTAATCCTTCTATCAGCAAGTAAACTATTCCCAGATCATGTGACCAGCTTCCTGTTGTCAGTGTGGGCCTCTTGGAGATCTCTGGTCACATGATCATAGCTGGGAGCCTGTTCCCTGTTTACATCTGCTAAAGGTGTTGAAATAGAGAGCAAATTACTTGTTTATGACAGGGTCTCACTTGACCATTACCAGGGAGGCAGGGAAACTGTTATCCCATCCAGACATACTTAGATAAATATATTTGAAAACTAAATGTAAACATATGTCAGAATATATCTTTAGCCTGTTATCTTATCTCTATTTGGGGTGGAGTGTGTGTGGGGGAGGCATAAGCAGGCACCCTGAAACGACCTCAGTGAACCCTTTTTTTTCTGTGTGATATAGAACTGATAAAAGCTGATCTTCCAATGCTACAAATTCTAGACACTCACTTTTATTAATTTATATTTTAGCCAAGACTTAAAATTGTAATTGTTTTTTCCATTGAAGAATAATACTATGTTATTTATCAAATTTCAACTATTTACAGAGCTGTATGAATGTGTACACCACAGTTCTATCTGCGTGAGGCAGTAGTTATATATGTATTAACATCAATGTACCTACATTTATGCATACTGAAGTGACATTTTATATAAACATACTCTCAAAAAGGAAGTCTTTACTCTGTATGGGTTGCTGTAGCATCAATTTTTATCAAAGAGTTTTGAGGAAAAAATAACAAAACTTAGTTTTGTTCTCTCACTGTAGAGTAGTCTTTTTATATTGACTTCTTTCCATTTAAAGTAAATACAATTCAGTTTCAAATAGACAGGGTAGACGGAATAAAAGAGGTGGGTGTTTTTTGTTTTTTTTTAAATAATTTTTCAGTAATGAAACACTTTGCTTTAATAGAAACAATATTTGTCCTGGTTTATCTAGCTGAAATTCAAAGGTAGTGAAGAAATATATCTTACAATATAAATGATTTATAGATCTAAAAATAAAAAAAAAATAATAAAAATTTTAAAATGGTTTCTGTAATTTATGCTTTCAATTTACTAAAATGGTAAAATTCTAAACTTTGGATAATTAGCAGTATTCCATCATAAACTTATAATAGGTTTTCTTTTTAATCCTTGTGTCTGACAAGATATTTATCAACAGTAAATGTATACACATGTAACCCATATCTATACAAGTTAAAACTTGGGAAGGGTATTAAATTTATAATTTTTAATAACACATTTTCATTATAAATTTACTAAGTTAAAAAAATAAGCATAGCATCTTTCATAGTTGATATGAGAAGTGCTGAAAAGTTATCTATATGACCAGGAAACACTTCCCTTGAAAATTATAATGGTTTGGTCAAATTTTCAACATGGAACACACTTATAAGCAAGTGCTGAAAAGTACCTCCATAAGCCCAATGATGAAAAAAGTAGTTTTTTTTTTTTTTTCAACATAAACTTTACTGTTAAAGCACTTAATCCAATGCTTCTCCACAGACCACCCAGTTTGAATATTATACAGTGAAAATTTCAAATCGAGATTTGCCTAACATGAAAAGGTTTCAGCCTAACCAAGGGATTCCAAAATAAAATTCTGATTTGGTCAAATTTTGAGAAAAGTGACCAAGAACTTGACAACACATACTTTATCGATACATTTTATTTTACACACACAAAAGGTTATTCAACTTGGAATCCCCAATTTATTTAAATAAAATTTTAATCATAAAAATGCTGTATTCAATCAAAATGCCTCCCCTTGGCTTATACATTTGGCAAGCAAGTTATTTAAAGATTTGAATTTGATCAGAAAAGTTCTAAGTTATGATAGAACTTTTCTACATCTAAACCACTAAGTTATGATAGTGGTTTAGATGTATGAAATAAGTTAGATGATTAGGTACCGGAATGTCACCTTTGCGATATAGCAGGTGCTTTATACAGCAAAATGAGACTTTCTTGCAATATAGCAGGTGCTTTATACAGCAAAATGAGACTTTCTATTTACTAAACTAGACACTGTTTCTCAGAGTTTTGAATGAAATATTTCAAACTGGTCTCAGTTTGCCTACTTTTAAAAAAACTGTCTCAAAATCATTACTTTTCCACCAAATATTCATAACTGTAGTTTCAGTTAAAAAGTTGGCCATTTTACAGATGTCCAGTTATTAAAGAAAACTAATTTTTTAGCTCAGGTGATGATATAATGCAAAAACAGGCCAATTTAATGTTACTGAACATGAAATGCTGGTCTTTATATATTTGTTGCTCATTCAAGTCAATTACTGAGCCTACAGTGCTGCTCTAAAGGATATAAAATGATCCCATTTGATACAGTGATGTTTTTGGGAATCATTTTTCACCACAAATTTCAAATCTTTATCATTAATTGGTTTTAACAAAACTTTCTTCTTTCTAAAAATTTTCCATTTTCAAATTTTTTAAAACCAAAATCTTTACTGTTTATTCACTAACAGCATTATCTCCAAATAAATAATTTATGTTACCCTCTATTCTGCTCTCTCATAGCCCAGTTTGAAATCTGAAGTTGTAGGTTTCTTTATATTAATCATATTTTTACTGAAAAAGCAAAATGATTTAATAGCATCAATTACACAACAATAAAACTCAAGCTTAAAAAACTTTCACTTTGAACCTAATACATGTTCATTTGCAAACATCAAGTCAATTGTGTTAAATATTTAAAAAAAAAAAAAAAAATCAATTTTGTATTAATAATTATAGTTCTTTAATATAACATCTATTATGCATGACCATATGAATTTTTTCTTTATTGCAGTTGCGTAGTTCATTCAGCAAAGCCTTCTCTCGCAAGAAGAATAAGCACGGATCCATGTCAGATGTAGAGCCGGATACTGCGAGTTTGCGATCTAATTGCTCAGCTCCAAACTCGCCATTGTTGCAGCTCTCTCATCTCAATGGACCAGGCTCAATTAAAGGTTCACATTCTTCGGGAGCGTACGTACCAACTAATATTATCACCATTATTATTAACTGACAAGGTGATTGAGCATTGCTTGGGTCACAATTTCCCATGTGGTTGAGCTTGGAATATAAGATGTTAAGTAAATTTGATTAATGAAATGAGTAACATTTTTAATTATTATAATGTCAAAATGAGTATTTCTTTTTTTTTTTGGTAATTCTTCAAATTAAAAAATGAATTTTTAAACTTTGCTCATTCAAATTTTAAGACATTTGCTCTCTTTAATTCTTTTTAACTCTAGAAATTTTAAAAAGTTACAGTGCCACATCAATCTTGATTACACATGACTCCACCTTGCTTGTTCAAAACCCTGACTTGTTATTACTGTAAAAACATGAGGATCAATGATTTTATTAGTTTTTAACTATTAAAATGAATTTTCTCTCATTGCAACTGATAATGTACATCTTGGTTTGTTTTCTGACTTTGTTTTAGAATTTGCGAATCAGAAGACTCTACTGTTAGTGAATTACGCAAACAACTCCGTGAAAAAGACATGAAGTTGACAGACATTCGTCTGGAAGCTCTTACATCAGCACATCAGCTGGAACAACTGCGGGAGACCATGAATAAAATGAGAGTGAGTACAAAGAACTTTCTTTTTAATACTTAGGAATAATTATCAAATACACACCAACTGTATATAAAGTCACATTCAATAATTTTAGCCTTTCATTATAAAAAAAATCATACAAACATATTTGTATTGTATTAAATAAATATACCTAGCATTATCAGTTGGGAGTTGACTATCTTTATTGTTGTGACTATCAAGCTATAAAAATAGCTTGTTTTGAGGGCCTCATGTTTAATAGAATTGATGAAAAGAATTATTAAATTATTTAAGATCAAATTTAAAAATCTTTAAATATACATAACCTTAAAAAAATAAACTATCACTGAATAAAAACTTGTTAGTTTTTTATTTGACTGATAAACCTCAGATGTTAAATTATCACTTCATAAATTTATATTTATAGTTATTCCTTTGAAACACTCTTAGCTTATTTGCCAGCTTATAAATATCCACTATACTGCATCAAATGTGTTGGTATTATAGATCAGAGGCTAAACACCAAAAGGTTCAAGTATTATTGTTATGCAATGAGGATGAGTTGCAGTAAAACAGTACAAAATGTCCTTATGCATCTTGTAAATACAGTACTTTGTAAGTTAGTATTATTTAAACTTCTTTGTTTTTAATCTAACCTGATATCAACAACTAATATGGTAAAATTATGTTGGAGAATTCAATGTTGGTCCTAATAAATTTCTTCTGTATAATATTATTAAAAACTATGACTATTACAAATTACTAATTTGCTAGTGACCCTTACATGTATTCCTTTTCTACAGTTTCTAATCTAAATTGAATAAAGATGAAATTAATAATTTTTTTTTTCACAGAATGAAATGAGTGCTTTGAAGGCAGATAATGATCGTCTAACCCGAATGGTTACCACAAAAAATCTGAATATGTCAACATCTTCCCTACATCACCAAGTTAGTAACGACTCTTTGGATCGCAGTTTAAGCTTGACTTCATCAGACCATGGCAGTCTGGGTGAGTAATCTCTTCTTTTCTGCCTCTTAAACAATAACTGGCCTTTTAATACCAGCATGTCACACTGCTAAAGACCTTATAGAATCTGCCTGCCTGCCTTGCACACATATACACAAATAATTTTTAAATGGTATATATATTGTTCCTCCCCACCCCCAACTTATAAAAGAATTTCTCATAGCCCATATTAGTATTAAGGCTGTAAATTGTGTGCTGAAAATTAAGAAAGAGATTTTCAGTGATCAAAAATTGATGCAAGCATTACATGCAAAATAGCAATTGGTTGAATAACAAACAAATAAGATATTTTATTTCAAGACTCAATCCACTATTTTCTTGTTAAAATATATATATATATATATATATAAATAATATCTTTTGTAAATTTTCTATATTAAGAGATTTCAATTACAGACTACACAATTTATTAGCTTTAAAATCCCTGACTTCAAAAGGTAAGAATAAATTGACTCAATGAAACCTAATAAAAAAAAATAAAAAGAAATCATTATGAAGTTTGAAATATTGCAGTACTATAAGCAATAGAACAATAAATGTGTGTCAATATGTTATAACTTCAAATATTAAACACTGGTTGTGCTTTTGATAAAAATTATAACTTGAGTTATTGTGCAATTCTTTAGATCAGGTTATAATTTCTTTAAAAATTGCTGCTTAATTTAAAACATTGTCAGCCCAATTGACACAACGTGTTTTGTGCATGCATGTAAGAGAGAGAAAATGAATACAAGTTTGTTTTACTGTTTATTGTGTGTTTTGTATTTCATTGTTGTTGGTATGAACATGAAATCAAAAAAAATTTTAAGACAATTTTTCTATTTTTGTTTTTGGAGAAAAAACTGATTTGGGTAAAAATTTGAGGAAAAAAATTACATTTTGGCTTAATAAGTAAATGAACTGATTATCACAAAGAATAGTCCATCCTGATGAAAATCACTTCCTGTTAGTTTTATGATAGGCTCTAATGATAAAATTACAATCCCCACATTACAACCTGTCTTTTTTTTTTATGTATATTACTTATAGTTTCTGATAGTTCAACTCCAAACAAAATTTAGCAACTCACTAAAAGCATAACACATGGTTCTATATCTCAAAGTTAATAGTAAAATAAGCTGAGTTCAAAGTAGCTGTTAGTAGAAATCATTAAATCTGCTTATTGTAGAGTCTTATCAATAGTAAATCACTTATTTTTACAGTTCTAAGAGCTCAATGCGACAAAACTTTCTCAAATGTTTTATTTGTAAAATTAGTGAATATTCTTTAAATATTCATTTTAATAATGTCTTTTTATCAAATTAAAAATGAAATTAAAACAGAAATAATTTAAAAAATGTTAAATTCCACTTTGCATGGTCAATCTAAATAACACAGCTTTATTATTATTATTGGCTTCTTTAGTATAATTTCTCATTTTAAGAAAAGCTATTTTTTCTTTTGTTTTTAGATCAGTATACTAAATTATTTGCCATGCATTTTTTTAAATATAATTTTTTGGTTGATTTACATGTCATTCCCTTCATTGTGTGCATCATTTAAATATCTCATCATTTTTATATAAAATACAAATCTGTTTTTCAATTTATCTTTATTATTCTTACTTCTTTATGTATTATTTTTTTTGTTTTTGTTCTGGTATAATTTTTTTTTTAAATCTTTCATGTTAAATTATTAATTAAGCATTTATTGTGTATATATTTGCCCAAGAGCATGCACTGATGTATGTGTAATGTCTGCTTGAATATCTTTATTGTGTTAAATTATGAAGCAACTGGTTTCTCTGTCCAATGACTTCCTCACGCCTCTTGACAAATCGCAGCCGCAGCTGACAACTAAGAACAGATTATACAGTAATCATCGAAGAAAGAAAATAACAATAAAAATAATTTTTTTCTTTTATGATGAAACGTTTTTGCCACGTGTCCCACCATTGGTACGTTCCACCTGCCAGAGGCTAGCACTCACAAAAGTGGGGTTAAGAATGAAGTTCAAAAGTAATACCTACAGGTTGAGTTATAAGCTTGTATATCCATCAACAGTTGAAAGTGTTTGAAACTGTTTAGCCATTAGATTAGTGGTATAGAGGCTAGAGTTAACAATGGCAAACTACCTTTGTACTTAGAGAAGCAAGCAACTAAAGCAGTTTGCCCCAGGCCACAGGTGTACTTCACTTTTGAATGCAGAAGAAAAGAAGGTACAAAAGAAAGGCTTCTGCTCTACCCTAACACCTACCCATTTATCTTTTAGACAAGGTTACAAGTTGTTGTTGTTGTTCTTATTTCTGAATCCTTAGGATTTTGCAGCTTTTCTTCCTCATTCAACATCAGGATCTCTTACAAATACCCAATCCAAATTGCAGGTGTCTTTTCTCACATCTGTCACAGAAAGGGCCTGACTTTTATCAGTATGTCATAATAAGGTCTTTTCTTTGTATTCTAATGTGTATCCTAGTTCTCTTGGATGTATTATTTTTAAAATGAACCTATAACTTTAAAAAAAAATTGTAATTTTATTTGAACTAGAATTATTGTTACAAAAATTTAAACTTTTGCTATCGAGTTGCATTTTGCGTCCTTTTTTTACTACTTGGCAATAAGCTCCAAAAGTATTACACAAACCATTTTGTTTTTTTAACCTGGAAGAATGAATTGGAATAAAATCTAGATCAAATATCCATATTAGAATTCGACAAAATGACAGGATGAGGAACAAATAGGAAACACAAATTTAACATGTTTCACCTTTCTGATGAAGCTTAAATGAAAGTGATACATATTAAATTTATAAACGCTTCCTATTTTTCCTTATCCTATCATGTGGAAGAATAAATAATCCAACTCACTCTCCACTTTATGTGAGATCTACTGTTGTTTGAATAAATATTATGCTGCATGTGATCAAAAAGAATGAAAACTTAAAACAAATATAAAAAAATATACTTGTAAGATATGCACAATATATTTTTCAGGAGAATTGGTTTAAAAAACACAACTTTTTGCATTACTAAAAGATGTAAAAAGGATTTGGAGTAGAGAAGTGTATATATATATATATATATATATATATATATAAGGGTCTTGCAAATTTTCAATACAGACTTTAAAATCAGGTATTACTCATTTTCCAAGTATAACAGGTTTTGTTCTGGAGGTGGATGGAAGAACAATGCACATAAAATAGTTCTGGAAATTTGCATCAGACTGCTTCCATATCAATAATAAAACTGTACAACCTAACTAATCATGGGACAGAGTAGAAAATGCATTTTTAAGTATTCCATTCATTTATCCATTTTACAAACTTAAACAGTGAATAACAAAGAAGACTACTCTTTTTTTACCCCTTGTTCTAAACAAGATAGAGCAAGAAACAAAAAATATAACCTTAGAAAAATAGACTGAAGAATAATTAAGGCAGTAAAATTACATATATTAATTTCAAATTTCTACAACTGTTTTGAAATTACACTTATTCTAAAACCAAGATCTAATATCAGAGATGTTCTTTATACATTAATTAACAGAAAGGACAAATATTTTCAATCAGAACAGGACTATGATTTTCATTATATTTTGATGAATTTCTTTTATGGTTCTTCTGTTAATAAAGTAATAGGAGTTTACTTTTTTTTGTTGCTACAACAAATTACTTTGCAACTAAATATTTATGTAATTTTGTCTGTTCATTAAAAGAATGATTTTTTGATTTATATAAATCTATAAACAGAGGTGTTGATGTTTTACAGAGGAGTTGCTGATGATAAGACTGATCTCAAAACCAACTGTTTTATTGATTGTTGAATATTCAGTGTTATCAGAAATATCCAAACGTAACAAACCATTTTTTCATAAAATAAATGATTTGGATATTGGAGATGTTTTTTCATTATGCATATTTACTTGTAAACTACCAAATAATTTTATAATGATTAATGTAATTATAGAAATTTTGCTATTAAAACTATCATAATATTTGTTATTTATATCACTTATGAGTCTATATTTAACCTGATGTGCAAGTGATGCTTGTATCATAGAATTTAACATTATCAAATGTAGATGAAATGTTAACATTTTTATGTATTATTGAATTATGTTTATAATATTCTAAAATCTATATTTGAATTATTACTGCATAAATATAAAAATAGAGTAATATTTATTAAAATATAATAATTAAAAAATGCTATAATGTAGCTTCCTTGTGCATTTTCTATAAATATTTTCATGATAATTGTCCTGAAGAACTTTCCTTTATGGTACCTAAACTTTTCAATTTTATGTGCAGTACTAGATTGGTTTCATCATTTTACAGTTGAAATGGCCAGATGTAACTAAGTTCTATACTAACAGTTTCTTCTATTGCACTTCTCGCTTGTGGAACTCTCTTCTAGCTTCTTGATGTTCAAAAATTTAAATGCAATATTATATCCTGTCTCTTAATTCTTGTTCTTTTATTGTTCTCCCTCCTCAATAGGTTTTTTTTTCTCATATTCTCTAACACCCCTTGCATCTTAGTGGCTTTATTGCCTTGTTTGGGGTGAAATGATTAAAAATAAAAATTGTAGTAATTAAAATGAGTGAGTAATTTTCCTTTATTAATTTTTAATCTTAAGAACTTGCCTTGCTAAGTACTAAAAAAAAAAAAAGTCCTATTTAGTACTCCTATGTTATAATAGCAATAATATATCAATGAAGGAATAAAGTGTTATTTATTATTAATGAAAAAAAAACAAAAACATTTAAGTTAATTTTTAGTACAATGTTTATATTATTAATAAACCTAACTTTTGTATGAAAAAAAAATCTATTCATCATTCTGTCAGGTGTTGTTTTAAGAACATGCAAATTAAAATAAAAATTATTGGATAATGTATTATATTGCTTGCAAAGAGGTTTTGAGGAAATTGTACTTATACCATCTCTTAGTTATGCTATCAATATCTTTTTTTGCAAGATTACTTAGATGACTGCACAAGC